GCGTCGTATTGGCGTGCCCCTCGCCTTTGGAGAAAATGTTTGTTTGGTGTCGCGGTGATGGTGAGTTCTTGCGAGTGTGTTTTCGTCGGCAGACCAACGGGATTTACATTACGTGCGGCTCTAGTTGGTGGGGGTTATTCATGGAATTGAAACGGAGAAGAAAAGTTGTCTTCTTTCTTTGACGTTCTAGGAGAGATCATTGCCAACTCTGAAGGCTTTGGATTAAAACAAACATTGGTTGTGGAAATGCCTCCTCGATCGTGTATTTCCTTTTTTCCCCTTCTATAAATAAACTACAACTCTCTTGCTTTGGCAATAACCCGAGCGACGGGAATCCACCAAAAGGAAATGCGCTGCCTCTTTCATTTCCTTTACGAGCAACATTTTTCACATGAAAAAAAAAACAAAAGCAGCAGCGAACAGACCGTCACACTACAACGGGAAAAAAAACAACAACAAATGATTTACCAAATACGACAAGTTTGAGCAAAAACCAAACCATGTCGATTCGTCGAATCAAACGCCCACATATACATAAACAAGATTACTCGCTCAGCGTGTTGTCCAATCCATACATATCTTTAAACAACAACACCAGCATCTTCGCTTAGGTGAAGAACCGAACCATTTCCACTTCTGTCGCGAACAACCGGCAGTGGCCGGCCAGAGGCCGTGCGCTGCGCGCAGTCATTTCTCCGGTCGCCGCGCGGAGAAGGCCGCGTCGCCGCCGCCGCCGCCGCCGGGCGCGCGCGGCCACACAAAACGGGGCCGCTTTTCCATTGGCGTGCGGGAGGAGAACGCATCGATTATCTCCTCCTTTTTCTCGGCCCGGGGCGCGCGGAGGGCGGATGGATCGTGCTCTGCGGGCGCATCGGACGGCCGCGAGCGGCGTGTCGTCATAAAGCGGGCGGAAGAACGCGATCCGGTGTTTTTCTTTCTTTCTTTCTTTCTTTTCCTGTTCTATACTGGCGTGGTTTTACCTGGTTCGCCCAGGTGTCCCGCCCGTTCGAAAGCTTGAACGGAGATGTCTTTTCGAGGGAAAGCCCGCTACAGTGTGTGTGGAGGCCCGGGCAATACTGGTCACTGATACTTGCCGGCGTAACAGTCCTCGATCGATCGAACCCACCGTCTCTGACTGTGTATTGTGTCTGCCACTGTTCGAGAAAAATATTTAGAGGACGTAGGTCGTGTTCTTTTCTCCAACAAAAATTGAATGAAGATTAAGATTTTTATGGCACGCTTTTTAACTGCTAAATGGTACGTTTCGTATGAAAACTTTCTATATGAAAGTTGCTTTAAATATCATATTAATCTTTTTTTAAGTTTGTAATAATTAAAACTCAATCAATCATACATCAATGCCACCTTATTTTACGTAAAAAACTTAATCTTCATTTTCAGGAGAAAAGAACACCACCGTAGATGGGGTTTCAACGTGGTTTTGAAAGTAGCTTTACGTAGAGTATATCAGAAATCAAAATTTTTGAAAGCTTCGTTAACAAAATCAACAAAAAGAGAAAAGGATCGGAGCTAGCTTGCGTTTGAAGTTTTAAAATTGATTCACAGATTGCAAAATAAATATACAACCAAGATAAAATACCATGTGTTTGATATCGACTGCAGCCTGCTACAGCGTTTTGGGCCGTGTATTGCACAGCCCGACAGCTTTGGCTGCTGTAATAACGTTGGCTGCAAGAAGCATCATTTTCTTGCTGTCTGGTTATAAACCTTTGTTAATTGGTTGGCTGCTCCATAGCAGTACTGAACAACACCTATGCATATATAAGTACAGAAATTTTACTTTGTTTTTCAAAAAGTAACCATAGATACCAAAATTTTATACTAAAAATTTTAAGACTCCATGCATCTACATTAGTATTAAATTTTAGAGTAGAAAATATGATACCTCTGGCTATTTTTAAAGAATGGTGAAATTACCAATATACGAACTATGGGAGTACTATAATGATCCAAACCATTTTTAAAAACTTTACAGTATAGTTTATACAAACTGTTTAAGGGACGATAAATGAAATACCACCAGATTATTTAGTGAATATACTTGTTCATTTTATCAAGGTTTGTCGCAACCATTTTTTCACACAGCTGCAGTCGCATATTGGAGTAAATATTGTGAAATTTGTTGTATATAAGCATATTGAGTTTGCATCAGAACTACATGTCCTATCTTACTGTAAAGTTATCCCCCACTAACTCTTTATGCTTAACATACAAAGATGCCACATCATCATCCACTAATTAACAAGATGCCACATCATCACCCACTAACAATCATCACATTTAAACATCATGCAAACATGCTATATCTTTATAGTTTTTATAATTTAAAAGCTTTTCAAATACAATCATGTTAAATTATCATCCAACAAAATTCACATAATGTTTCAATATATATATCTTTATTATGTTTTATGATATCTTATATACTTATATAGTTCATCCTCACTTAATTAGTTAGTGCTTAAATGATTAATATATGGTCCAAATTATCTTTCTCATTTTTTTCTCTAATTAAGTCATATCATATCAATTGTTTTTAGCCTTTAGATGATTAATCTACGGTCCAAACTATCTCCCTACTTTTCTTCTTCCATAAAGTCATACCACCTTACTTTTTACGTTTGAATCACCATTCTACATACTATTTAAATTTAAATTACCATAAATCACATTAATTTACTTAATCTGATATTATCTAGCTATCTTACACGTTATTTTTTTATTATTATCATACTAAATTCCCGCAACAATGTGTGGGGGTTTCACCTAGTATTTTATATAAGAGCCCTCATGCAAATTTACTTTCCACTGGAAGACAAGGCGATGATTAACCAATCACTGTCTTTGCTTTCCATGGGACAAAGAACATCTAATAGTACGTCATTGATCCTTACAGAAGTGGCTGTAATTCACGTTTTAGGGATCGATTAACTTTGGGGCATGACTCAACACATACACGTGGCAAAGTTTCTATTTTGTGTCTTTATTATTTGTTCCTTTATGCATTATATATAACCCAAAAATTGCTATAGAACTTCTATTATATCCATATGAATCTCAAATGATAGAAGAAAATAACAAAGAGGCAACAAAACAATGAGAAGACAAGATTATGACAACTATACTTGGCTTGTCCAGTAAAGATGTGTTATAGTCTAGAAAAGGTATCACTGTTCCACCGAAAAGAACATGACACAACGAGTAGCACGATGAAAAGGTTTATGCTTGAATACATAAATATTTTTTGAGTGGATGAAAAAGGTGTTTAAGAGCATAAAAGGAGAAGAAACTGCATGTAGTTAATTGGGTGATTGTCATTTCAACTTCAGATAGTGTTTGAGGGACAAATTTCATTCATGTATGGAGATGCAAACAAAATATGCAAAGGACAAAAAATGGAATCTTTCCATCCACATTCTTCAGTCGAGAAACAAATGGCATCTGCAACTTGAATGCCTATATATGGCCTAGTACACACAGTGATTTGTGTTGAAGATGACATATACTCCTATATGCAATTGCAATTGCGCATATAGAGGTGGGTATGTTGATTGGCATTGTATTTACTTGGACCAACAATATCTTAAGTAGCATCTTTAGTAGCAATCCAATATACTGTATAAGGCAATCTTCTTGCCTTCTTTTTTTTTTTTAAAAAAAAAATCTGTAGTAGCAATCCAAGACGATAGGACATACGGAGTAGAGCCTTGAAAAGATAGCAGATATGGGGAGGAGTTCAACAATTATACCCTCTTAATTCTATTGCCAGTAATTGACGTGGTAATATAAACAAGAGATATGCTCGCATTTGGTTTTTATTTCATACTGCTATCATTTGATTTAGGCTCACAATTATGAAAGCATTTATTAATTATTATTCTCTTAGTTATCAAAACCGTTCACATTTCATCCCTTTGTCAAAATCAGGATGGTATTCCACTGCTAGTAATTGCCTTTTATTCTGAATTTTAGTTATTTATAAATTGTATTCCAACTTAAATTCTTATTTGATTTTTCTAAATTTAGAATTTATTTTATTTAAATTTTAATTAATCTCATATCGTGTTATATATAGACCGTTCTTTTAATATTTTTTATTTTGAGTTTCAGTTATTTCTAAATCGTACTCTTACTTAAAACCCTTTTTTTCTTTTCGTTGATTAATGTTGGAATTTTCAGCATTCATAGCGAATGTGGTGTCTTATTTTTCAAGTTATTTCAATAATATAATACTCCCTCTATTTCAGGTTATAAGATGTTTGGATTTTGGTCAAAGTCAAGTTGCTTCAAGTTTGACCAAGTTTATAGAAAAAATAGTAATATTTTTGACCTAAGATAAATTTATTATAAAAATATATTTAATTATTAATTTAATAAAACTAATTTGGTAATGTAAATATCACTATATTTATCTATAAACTTAGTTAAATATAAAATAGTTTGACTTTGACCAAAATCAAAACATCCTGTAACCTGAACGGAGAGAGTACATAGATAGATAGATAGATAGATAGATAGATAGATAGATAGATAGATAGATACCAGCTGTAACTTAGCAGGATGATAAATCGGCTTATGTATAGTAGCTGCTGCTAGTAACATTTCAAGCCGTTGAAGTAAGGTTGCAATATATAAACCAATCCATTGGTAGGATTATTCTTCCCATGTTACCATGTCTATATGCCTTGTTCAGGACATTGGGAGACTTTTTTTTTTCAATAGCTACATATGAAAAATTTAGAAAACTACCGCGAAATTCCTATTGAAAAAAGAGGGTGTTAACAATGCATGATGCAACCGAGTATATGCCTGAATAAAAAACGCCAAAGTATAAACTGCAAAGAAATTCGAAGGAAAAACAGAGTATGGTGGAGGCAACTAGTGGGAGGTGCATGGGACCCTCCCCTTTGGCCTTGGACGGCTATTGCCCTCCTCACTCTCTCCCTTTCCCTCCCCTCGAGCCTACAAATAGCCCCCCCGAGCTCACCATCCAAAACCATAGATGCTTGCAAAACCAAGCTGCTTCTTGACTCCCAAGAGCAGCAGCAGCAGCAGCGGCAGCAGCAAGCAGATCTAGCAACAACACACAGCTCACTCCCAAACTTCCAAAAAAAATCCACAAGTGTTTCTTCCGTTGTTGCAGCGTTGTGACGTGCATGCTTTGCCTGCTTGCTTGAGGTAACCACGAAAGCTGCCACGCTTGTTGTGCTCTGACTTCTTCTTCACTCTGCAGCTCTGCTCGTTTTGCACACGGGTGACTCGTCTCTTTGTACTCACTCTCTCTCTCTCTCTCTCTCTCTGATCTTGCCTCTTCACAGGGAGCAAGCGCTATACTGCCACTTCGCAACCTTTCTTCTCCAGGAGGCGAGGATGTCTGTGGCGGTGTGCCGTGGCCCGGCCATGCCGGCGTTCGAGCCGTCCACCTGGCTGCGCGCGGCGGCTGAGAACACGTACAGCAAGCCGGAGGTCGCCGTCGACGACCGGCCGGCGCAGGCGGACATATGGAATGCTATCCAGGCCGACGTGGTGGACAAGTCGGCCACCACCGGCGCCAAGAAAGCCGCCGCCAAGCCGTACGTCCACCCGCTGGTGCGGCGATCTTCGAGCCTGATGAGCCAGAAGAGCCTCGAGGTCTGCACCGAGAGCCTCGGCTCCGAGACCGGCTCCGGCGACTTCACCGCGTCGCTGGATGACGTCGACATGGCCAGCCTCTTCGGCGCGCCGGCTGCGCCGGCGTCGAAGCGCGCGGATCAGGCGGCGGAGGACTCGTTCTGGCAGCAGAGCGCGGCGCCGGAGGAGGCGTGGGAGAGGAAGGAGCTCGCGGCGGTGAACTACCACTGCTCGGGCGGGACGCGGTCGCCGCCACGCTCGTTCCCGCCGCCGCTCCCGTCCATGTCGAGCCGCGACGCGCCGTGCCTGCAGATGCGCCCTCGCCGCCAGGACGGTCGCCTCATCGTCGACGCCGTGGTTGTCAGGCCCCGCGGGTACCTCCACGCGAGGCGCCAGGGCGGCCGCCTCCTCCTCTCCTTCGTCGACTGCTCTGCTCGCGAGCAGAGCGCGGCGAGCAAGGCCGCCGTGGCCACCGAGAAGGCGCCCTACTTCCCGGTCGTGGACGCCAAGCTCGATCAGGACGAGGAGGTCGCCGCCGAAGTCGAGGAGGACGACGAGGTCGAGGAGGAGGAGGAGGAGGTGGAGGTGGTCGACAGGGGCACCGTGGTCGAGGTCAAGGTGAGCACGCAGCCGCAGACGCCCACCGCGGCCAAGGTGCACCGCTCGACGCTCGTCATCAACAAGTTCGTCGGCAGCACGCCGCTGACCGTCGCCGACCTGCAGCCCCGGTGCAACGCCGACGCGGCATGCGCAGCCGCCGCCGCCGCCGAAGCGACGACAGACGCGCCGGCCCCGGCGCTTCGCCGCGTGCCGTCCTCCACCTCCACCACGACGCTGGCGGCCGCGGTCGCCGTGGCGTCGACCTCCACCGACGGCGACGACGACGACGACGAGCCGCACCACCCGCCCGGCGCCGCCGCCCCCGCCGCCGACACCAAGCAGCTCCTCCTCTTCACCTCCCGCTGCCGCGACAAGCAGGAGCTTCTCCAGAGCGTGCGCCAGTGCCGGCAGCTGCGGCAGAAGCCCCTCTTCATCCTCGAGCCCTACTGCATTGCCACCTCCTAAGCTCGCGCCGCCGCCGCCGCCACATCACACGCACACAGCTGCTAATTAATTAATTAATGCGAGAGTTCGGTCTCCCTCGCTCGCGCGTCGCGGTTGCTAGCTTAGGCTTTAATTAATCAACCAATCAATCAAGCAAAACACGCACGATTTGCTACAAAATTACTCAAAATATTATTTATTAATAACCTTGGCTCGTCGTGACACACAGTAGCTGCTGCTGGGCCTTTTTGTGACACATGCTTTGGGCATGTGTCGTTTGGTGTTCCAGTTTTTTCTCTCTTCCTTTTTAACCGCGGTCGGTTCTTTGATCGCCTCTGCAGCGGCTGCCTTTGTGCGCGTCGAGTGTGCACCTCGTGTTGTAAACTGTTTATATAGTCATCATCATCATGTATTTCCAGTGTGATTTGAGTAATTAATTGACAGATTTGCTTCAAGAAACACTTGTTAGTTATGCTTAATTAATTAGCTTGTTCTTGTTAAATAACTGTCATGTGCATGCCAGATGACGCAACAATCAATCATATCCTAATTATTACTCTATCATCGAGCAACAGATTGTGTCATTTTCAAACGAAATCTTGGGTTGGATAAGCAAGTTAATCTTTGGTATGCATGAATGATTAGTTCCCCTATCCGGATATATGAAGATTTGAGGGGACATATATATCATCATGTACGTGCGTGCCCAACAATTGTCGTAGACGACGTTAGGGGCGAGTAGGATGTGAAGATGTGCGAGTTGGAGCATCTTGTCTTTCTGCTTTGGGTAACCCTAGACTAGACACGGTAGATTATTGATCATCATGGAGATGGATATATATTGGATATTTGGATAGACGTACGTCACCTCATCAAGTATGTCCATGGCAAATTGGCGATCCAATATATATCTCCGGACGAATACGTTTGTCTCCGGCTGTAAATGGAGGTCGGCGTCACTGCAGGAATGCAGGTAGACATAGGGGTTGCTTATATCAGGGATATAAAGTTTTGACGTGTTACATCGGTTATTATATAGTGTGTCACATAGGATGTTGGGGCACTAATAAAAAAACTAATTACATAATCCGTCAATAAACAACGAGACGAATTTATTAAGCCTAATTAATTTGTCATTAGCAAATGTTTACTGTAGCACCACATTGTTATATCATGAAGCAATTAAGCTTAAAAGATTCATCTCGTAAATTAGTCGCAATTTGTGTAATTAGTTATTTTTAGCATATATTTAATACTTCATGCATGTGTTCAAACGTTCGATGTGACATAGTGAAAAATTTTAGGGTAGGACCTAAATAGGGCCATAGTGAATTATAGTGACCAAACGTACGAATAATCTTATGGAATTCTCTAGATCGAGCTAAAAATAAAAGGAAAAGAAAACATGTATGGGGTGTCGCTTGTACGAGCGATGTCTACGTTTAGCCGTTATGATGCCTTCTTTGGAACATTGGAATCTCGTGAAATATTTACTAAAATTTTCACATTAAATCGGTTCAAGCATTGTAGGGCTATATATTTATAGAAGAATTTTGTATTTGAAAGGAAGCCTCCACCACTCGAAATCATCTGTATCTTGAACTAAAGAAATAGATGCTAGCTTTTCACAATATATGTTCCAAAATAGGTGCTTATAGATCAGTAATATGGTATCTAGTTTATTATGTTTTTCATTTGTCCTATCATGGTGATTTTAGTGACAATTTATCATAAAGTTACGTAAGTGTTCACATCAAGAAAACTTGCATAGCCCTACCAACTAGAACGGCACCACCACACTAACTAATCAAATGGGTATGAAATTATAAGTAGATCGTGTTTCTGATTTATAACTATGGCCGAGTTTAGTTCCAAATTTTTTCTTCAAACTTTCAACTTTTCTATCGTATCGAAACTTTCCTACACACACAAACTTCCAACTTTTTCATCACATTGTTTCAATTTCAACCAAATTTTTAATTTTAGTGTGAACTAAACACACCCTGTAGCGAAATAGACGGTTTTTGTTTTCTTTTAAAAAATATAGCTTATGATTGGCCCGAACGAAAAAAAAAAGGACACACGATTGGAGGTGACTTAGCGCACGAGGAGAGGAATTAATTAATTAGTCGATCCTCTCGACCGAAAGAAATGGCGACGGCGTACGGAAGCACTGTTCGATGGGCCAAGGCACGAAATGCCCAAGTTAATTCGGTGATTGAGGATGTCGTCTTCACGTCGCAAGTTGGCGTGTTTTCGCTCGCTGTCACTGCATGGCAACTTGCTGTGTGCCAGTTCTGCACACACCCAGCCTGTGCTGCGGCTGGCCGGCGCGGCGCATATATACATCCGGCAGGGCGGATCCAGGAAAAGAAATTTGGAGGGGCTCAATTACATAGTTTCTTCAACCTACAGCTATCTAGGAACTTTTAGTTTATCATTCATACTATAAAAATTGAAGGGGATGCTCCGGGGATATCCATGGGTCCTGTGGGTGTAGGGGAGACTCGAGTCCCCCTGCACCCACGTTAGATCCGCCCCTGCATCCGGGATCCGGCTTTACCGATCTAGCAGAGGCTGAACCAACGGACCAATCATAAGGAGAATGCCGCTGCCTAGCTAGCCTGGGCTCATCATCTCTCTCTCATCAGGAACACAAAACTCCAAGCAGCAAATTGCAAGTGTTCAACATATATACATTCAATTCCTTGCACGTATGCTATTGGAGTGGTACTGATCGACCGTTTTTTCTTAGCAAGTGGAGTAGCAGTTTTTCTCGTTATATATATTTTTCTTTGGAAACCCCGAGAAAACACTCCGTATCAGAGACGTAGCCATCTAGGTGGCACCGTGGTCCATGGACCACCTAAAAATTAAAAATTATAGTATATGTGCTAGTTAATATAATAAAATTATACAGTGGACCATCCATAACTAAGTACCGAACATGGTTCTCATACACCTTCTAGAACGGTATTGACAGTGATGCAACATTTTTAAGAGAAAGTTTATGGTCTTAAAGAGATTAAGTACCTGTAGATACTAAAATTTTGATATCTTGAGATATCTCGGTAACAAGTTTTACACTTAACAAAAATATGGTTTCTCCCTATACTTTCTTAAATATTATAAAATTACTTTTTTTCTTAATTAGCAAGCATAAATTATTTTTGATATTTTTATCTAGGTTTTTTAATCCCTGAGAAATACTCCTATGCATCACTATAATGGAACAACATATCAGTGCTGGTTGGCTTGAACATGACACTGGCAAGAGTTTCCCGGCCCTCCAAACCCGTGAGCGCTCTCCAGAAGCTAGAACCAGGGTAAAAAAAGACACTGATTGGTGCGTGCACATTTATGTATATTTATCGAGATTTCAAGCTTAGCAAGTTGATATCTCGACTTGGAGTAAATTTTAATATCTAGGAATAATATTATTTTCCCTTCTATTTAGGTAGCTGGTCGGTGGATGTATGGTGTGATGCGAGAAAGTGTTGGTTCTCTTCCCTCACCACCACTTACAACACGTTTATCTATCTTCAGCAACAAGGTTTGATGTCAAAAGCGAAAACAATGCAACCGCACGAACCAAATCATTCCTGCTGATCGCCCATTGTTCTTCTTCTCCACCAAGGTTCAATCAATCGCGGGGAGCAAAAGGAAATTAAAGGGGGAGACAAAAGAGAGAGGAATGTCGTCCAACGAGTCCAGGCCGATCATACGGAAGATCTGCATGGACGTATGCATCGTCGGGGAACCGATGCTAATCCGTCTGAAAAGACGCTGTCCAACGCTACAGTTGTTGCTGTGCCATTCTGCCACGAAACGCTTCCTTAATTTCTTTTGAATCACAATCACTTAAGTGAAGATTTTAAATGCCTAGCTCTTATTTAACGATCATATCATTTGGATATTTATGTGAGTAGTTAATATCCGTGCACATAAATATATATCCATACAGAGAGTTTGGAACTGAGTTGGATTGGCAGTTTGGTACGTACGGACACTAATGATCACTGCTAAGGCTGTGAAAAAAACAATTAAGCTAGTTGGTGTCGTGGGTTAGTGATATATAATAGCCGCCCCACTTATGATTCTAAGCTAGATGATGGTCCAAACCCAGGTAGCTATCAGCTGACCACAGGTTAAATTCCTCGGCTTAGTGCTCAAATAAGTTTCAGCCATAAAAGTGCTCCTCTCATAGGTCAAACTTTGTTCTACATGTTGTAACGGCAGCATGAGTGGAGGTGTTTGTAAGCTAGGTTCTTTACCTCTGGTCATAGATAGTGATGAACGAAGAAGAGAAAATATTATAGCCATGCAAATGTTCTTCTCCAAGTCAACTTCATAAATAAGCGAGTGAAAGAGATGCGTGGCGAATGGGCACAGTTGCGTAGGAGTTAAGGTAATACTGTTATTGCAAAAAAATTAAAAGGTAGACCTGCTCTTATCGTCTAGCTTAGGAAAAGTATCAATCTATTACACAACAAAAGAATCTATCGATTGTATAATAGAAACTTTTTTGTGAATCACTATATAAATGCATGGTTATATTACTTAGCAGCTCTAAGAGTAAAGGAGAATTGTGATAATTAAGAATTCTAATAAGAACACACCTAGTCCATAATTTCATAGCCTTTGACTAATCGACAAACATCCACCATATATCTGAGCTTCTCATAATGTTGACCGGATATTTATACGTAATCAGTTTTGCTAGAACTTTGTCAACACATCTTGAGGTGGAGCCCAGTTGGATCTCTTGGTTATTGGGTCCATACCAACATTGTGCTCCCGCCTCTCATCTCCGTTGGTGTGCTGTTCAGCTTAATTTGGTGATGGTAATTAAGCTAGTGTGGGAGTCCATTGGGTTACCATTCAAGGGGTCAGCACTGAACACATCAGTGACTATACTAGGATGGAACGAGAGTTGAGGCAGGGGTGGCAGACAATGACAACAATAAGTCGGTGAAATTGTTAAAGCCAAGGGGCGGAGGAGACTTCTGGAATAGACAATGCATCCTTGGTGATGGCAAAGTTAGTGTGGGAATCCATTGGGTTACCATTCAAGGGGTGTCACCACAGAGCACATCAATGACAATTAGGATTGGAGGAGAGTTAACACACAACAATGGCAGACAATGCCTACAACAAGGCGGTGAAATTGTCGAAGCCATAGGGCGGAGGAGACTTGTGGAATCAACAATGGGTCAACATAGGAGTGAGTTGCATGCATGTTAAGATGTAGGCCCTGTTTAGATATCCTCGTAAAATTTTACACCCTGTCACATCGAATGTTTGGAAACATATATGGAGTATTAAATATAGAATTAGAGAAAACATTTATAACCAGTATACCTATTAACTTAGTGTACCTAACGACAAATTAACAGCATACTCCGTACTCCTAAAACAACTACTATTAGATATACTCGATGGCGTGCAATGACGAGGGC